TGGATGGATGGATGGATGGATGGATGGATGGATTTATTCTCTAAAACAGCTTCATAAATTAATCTCCTAAAGATTAAACTAAAAGTCAGACATGAGACTTGGACAGGAAGTCGTTTGGGAAGTTCATTTAAATGACCAGCTTCATTTCAAATACATTCAGTGACATCCTTCTTGTCCCCTTTGTCATTTAGGATATCTGCAGCTTTATTTCAACCACCATTTTATGAGTTTGTAAGAAATTTATTATGTGGGAAAAGAAAACCTTAAAATTGCTGATATTTACACACAGCGTAAATTAGCCTCACTTTTCAGTAATGCTAAGATTTCATTTGAAATTTCTTCTGAACAGTAAATCTTCTGCCAGCCTATTCAAGCAATGACTTGTCCTGATTATCTATATTCACTTTCACCATCTATGAGAGCATTTCTGCTACCTTAACCTCAAACCTAATAAAAACACTGCATGTCTTCTGTGCACACAAATTTTGCACCCCCCTTTCTATTTCATAAGGCTGTCATAAAATAACATTTGTACTTCTAATTGGGAGTCACTCTGCTCTGGTGCATTTAGCCCATATTTAAATGAATAAACTGAACTATGCATGTATTTAAAGAAAAATTTGCATTTTTAATGTAGTTTTCTGTCAGGACTAAAAGTATTTGATCCTGTTTGCAACATTCAATTTGTGTGACATATATACAATCTCCTGAAAGCGAAAGTTATTAAGATTTCTGTTTAACAAATTTCTTTCATTATAAAAGAGGACAGCTGTCATGAAAGGTATATTGCATCCTCTGTTCAGGTAATGAGTGACACACAGTGCTGCATCTTTACAAAAATTGACCAAATAAAGCATAAACACACGTTTGGTTTTGTATTCAGAAAACATTTTCATTATAGACCATTACTACTTTACAACAGAGAGAAGACAGAGGACGCAGAGGACAGAGTGCGATGGAGGAGGATGACTCCCTCCAGAGGGAACAGCCAAAAGAAGAAATTAGATCTTTACAACAGATAGTCCTTCACATCCAGAAACTACCAAACAGAACCGAAAAACTACCTGATGCTCATTACTGAGGGAGCTGGCCCACCTTCTCAGCTCAGCTCCCTGGTCTGCAGCCATACTGACACCAAGAGGAGAGTCTGATTCTCTCCATGGGAGACAGAACGTGCATCATGCAGAATGACACATTTTCAAATTAATAAAGAAAAAAATGCAATAATGGTCAAGAAAGCACACAATGTCACTAATTAAGAAATGCCATCATGGACTTTAAGGAGCCCATCTTCATCCACTGAGTCCTTGAGCTCACTGTGAGAAAAATATTTTTCTTTCTTTCTGTTACTTTTGTGTCTGCTGTGTTTGTGCTAGATGGTTTTAAATTAAGTTAATTAAATTACATTAATAAATAAGTTATCATTAAATCTGGATAAAACCTATTACATGATACACAGTAACAGAAAAACAGATGTTCACGCTCCATTTTTGGTAGATGGAAATGAAATTTGCAGAGTTAGTGAGGTGAAATTTTTGGGTGTTATTATTGATGAGAAATTAACATGGAAACCTCACATAAACAATTTGAGAACAAAAATATCTAAATCGAGAGCAATTCTGTATAAAGTACGAGAGTTATTCACTGATAAAGCAATGTTTATGTTGTATAATGCAATAGTTGTTCGTTATTGTCTTATTGTCTGGGGTAATGCATGTAAAACTATAACTAATCCTTTGTTCATTTTACAGAAAAGAGCTGTACGAATTATTATGAAAAAAAAAAACAATAGATATCCGTCGAATACTTTATTGTATCAACTGAAAATTTTGAAATTCTATGATTTGGTTAATTATAACATTTTGTTGCTTATGTATAGGGCACATAAAGGCACGTTGCCCATTAATATTCAAACGAATATTGTTAAAAGAGAGAGTGTATACATTCTTAAAGGAATTGAGATGTTTGTGAAGCTTTATTTTAGGACTAGTTTGAAAGAACGATCCACAATAATTCAGGGAATAGGATTGTGGAATGGTTTGGATGATAATGTTAAAAATGCCAGATCACTGTATACATTTAAGAGACTGATAAAGACGAGTTTCTTGAAAGAATATGGAAATCGTTAATATAAATCTACTTAAGTTGTTGTCTGATTTGATTTATATGTTTGAGTTTTTATGTTTTTAACTTAGCTAGATTGTTATTATCTTTGTGAATTATATTTTAATTTTAATTTTGTAAAAATATTTTGATTTACATTAGAATTAAGTAAAAAGGGGCAGTTTTCATAAGACTAGTTCTTCTTCTGCCACCTTTCATTTTATTTTATTTACATTTTTGATTGTATTAAGTATATATATATATATATATATAT